TATATAAAGGAAGATCATTGGCAATCGGACTCAACTGCAAACTAAACGAGGACCGGGTGTTGAGCAAGGCACCATACCAACCAGGCCACGTGTATATGGTAAAAAGGATTTATCGGAATACCAGGAGACGCAAGTTTCTTCCGGGCCATCTGGATTGGAAGTTTGAAAACGCTGTTGGTGTGCCAAGAAAGTCGGTGATAGTCTGTAAAGTGGGTGCTGGGGTTTGGGTGAACTTCATAAGAGCAAGGAGTAAGTAACGGTAGTGGCTTCGGCTCACAAGTACTTGGTCTTGGCCTAAGTGTAAGTTACCAAAAAATCTAGGTAATACATATATGGGACATGAACCACTCTAGTAGGTTTACCATGAGGATAAAGTAGTCCTAAGGGGCCTTAGCGGCAGTTCCTCTTTGGGGAGAATATCTGACAGCACTAAGTTGATCAGAGGGTTTAAATAGGTAACTCAAGTAATAGTGGATTATAGGTACGGCATCTAGTGTAGAACCTAATAATAGGTAGATATTTAATTAGACGCTCAAAAGGCACAGATATGGCTAGTATGTATTCTCGTTAATGTAACAAAGTCAAAGGTAGTCCTGTGGCTGCCCTGACATTCATAACCAAAGTTAATAAAACGTGCCAGACCCCCAAGTGGTTATCTTAACATTAAAAAAAAAAAAATATTAAATTGTCGCAAGTGTAATTTAACTTTTATATAATAAATAAATTATCTTGCTATCTCTAGATCTGATATGCCTGTCCTAATCTGGTTTTAAAAAATATGTCTTAAGTTTACTATCAGAGTTAAATTAGGCCCTGATATTATACTTTAGATCAAAAGTAATACCATACATATAATGCATTATCTTGCAGAAGTTAATGCATAATAGCCCTGATAGGAATGCTCATATTGCATTAAAAAAAAAAACAATGCAAAAATAAATTAAAACATTGCATAAAAGAAAAAAGAAATGTTGCAGTTATAAAAAAAAGGAAAATAGTAATTACCTTAGCAGCATCAATTCTCAATTAATAGAAACAGCATGCATATGAAGTAAATTAGTGAAACAAGATTCTATAATAAGAAAAAAAAATATTGTGGTAAATTATTTGAATAAAAATCTAAAATAAAAGAAAGAAGTATTGCAGTAAATTTTGAATAAAAATCTAAAATAAAAAAAAAGCATTGCAGTAAATTATTTGAATAAAATCTAAAATAAAAAGAAGTATTGCGGTTACTTTAGATTATAATAGAGGTATTGAAGCTTTTGTAAGGAGGCATCATACAATTTATGCAGATATTATAAATAAAATAATGGCATTGTAATAGTCAAATATTATACGATCGATTTCTGTAAGAAGATTAAATAAAATTTTAAATTTGATCTTTTGTTTTAGATAAGATTAGATGTCTTTTAATTATATGTATGAAAATAATGATATAAGAAACTCATTTTGATCTTTAATAAAAATTCAATTTCATCTTAAAATTATTTCATAAAATTCTAAATTCTAAAGTCATATATGTTCACTGTTTAGAATCTAAATAAACTATTGTTTAAAAAAAAAAAGTATAGATAGCCATAATGAATATACCCATAGCGAATATACCTCTGATATTGATTATATTTCTGATAAGTCAATGTTGAAGCTTCTACTAATACGTTTAGAAGAAAAGCTGTAGAAAATCCTATAGCAGAACCTGATGCCAAGAAGATTCATATAAATTTTTTTAAGCCAAACAAGGTCACTAAAAAAGCGTATATTTGGAAATATTTTGAAGAAAAAGATGATAATGATATTTGCAAAATTGTTATATTACAAAATCATAAAGAAACTGAGTATAATAAAAGTTATAAGCATGATGGAGGACTAGAAACATGAAATTGCACTTACAACAAGTACATAGGATTTTGGGACCTAATGAGCTAAAACTTTCAGGTGGAAAAAATCAACTAAGTATAAACGAAATGATTAAAAAAGTAGTATCATATAATGAATCTAAACAATCAGAATTGAGGCGAATTACAACCGAATGGATCATTATAGATTCCTTAGCATTTAATGTTGTAAATGGAAAAGGATATCAAAAAATAATGAAATGATTTGACTCTGCATTTAAATCACCAAATTACAAATGTATTAGAAAAAATATTGGTATTGCTTATCAAAAAGGCATTATAGAACTTAAGCAATTGCTTGTAGTTACTTGTAAAATGGCCTCTATAACCACAGATTTGTGAACTTCATGTGCTAATAATAGATATATCGATATAACTCTTCATTGGTTAATACCTAAGTTTGAAGTTCGTGATGTTCTATTAGCCATTAAAAAGATCAGTTATCCACATATAGAAGAAAAAATTAAAGAATTTTTAAATGCTAAGGTTGAAGAGTTTAAATTAATGAGAAAAATTGTTTGTGCTGTAATTGACAATAGGGCAAACATGAAAAAGCAATTAAAATTTGAAATGGCATAGAATGCTTACCTTGTGCTGCACATACACTTCAACTTACAGTTTTTTAGGCTTTAAAATTTATAAGCCTATATATTAAATGTGTTAAAAAACTAATTAAATTTTTCTGATCTACTAAACAAAGTCAACGTCTCGACCAGGTGCAAGTTAACATAGCAAATCGTAACACAACTCAAATAAACACTATCCAAATTCATAATCTTGTAAATACACATGAAAACCTATCAAAAACAGAAGACAGTGAAGAGGCGGAAACTTATGAAGCACTATCTATTTGCATACTATTGAGAACACAAAGATCCATTGAAATTCGTCTTATAAATCTTGGCAAAGGCTCTTAAAATTACATCCAGCGATTGAATAGCTTTCGTGAATTTTACCTCTGCAAGATAAAGATGATGCCACTAAATTAGACAAATACATGCTTAAAAATATGAATGGTAGTTATTAAAAGAGTTAGTAGAAGTCTTTAAGCCATTTGATGAATTGATCACTTACTTTAGTAGAATTCAATATACTACTCTTTCATTTATCAATCTAAGTATAGAAGCATTAAAGTTTGAATTTGCCGATCATATGTATGATGAGATGATTATGGATGCCTTTAATTATAGTAAATAATAGCTGATTAATTTTATATATTATATATATATTAATTAATTAATTATTAACTAATTATTTAAATTATAGACGAAACATTATTAGATGAAAATGATTTTAGCAATGAAGACTTTGATGATGATAATGAAACGCAATTCTTACCTAATATCATAATTTCCAAACTTCGAGTGCTTATTTACAACTCTTTATGATACTACTAGCAAGATTCAAACCATATTAAACTAATGGCCACTTTACTAGACCCACAATTAAAGTTAATGAACAGGTGGTCTACAGAAATATGACAAGATACAATTAATAAGCTACGTATTGAATTTCAAACTTGGCAAAATACAGCTATAACTGATGAAACAGAAACTTATTATAAACAAACTACCACTCCACATTTTATGAGAAAAATATTTAGTACTGGTAGTAGTAAACAAACAAACAATAGAACTGAAATAGATAATTATTTAAATAAAATGATAGTATCAATTTTATCATTATCTACTGATATTTATGAATAGTGGTGTAAAAATCAGCACTCTTTTCCCATTTTAAGCAAAATAGCTTGTAAATACTTATCAATCCCTGCTACTTCAGTTCTTAATAAACATCTTTTTTCTGATGCAGGAAATCAAATTACTACTAAAAGAACTCGGTTACTGCCTGAAGTTATAAGTAAAATGCTGTTTGTTAAACATAATAGTCTGTATTATAAAGTTTGAGAATAAATATATATTATTTTAATAAAATATTTAAGTAAATAATTACCTTCAAAAACTTTGCAATCTAACTAAACCATTGTAATCACAATTCTAATCTTCTTAACCATTTATATTGTTCATAATGCTGGATTTTCAGATCTATATATAAATATCATCCAATTAAATCACTCTAAATTTGCTACTTAAGGTATTGGAAGAAGCATTATTTATATCTATATGTTAAAAAGTTGTTACTAAACAAGCATTCTTAAATAGATCTTATTAGATCTTATTTTTAAAGTTAACTTTCTAGACTCTTTTGAAGCTAAAAATGACATTTAAGCAATTGTTTATTTGTGCAATGTTACATTTTTAAAAGTACTTTAAAATGTATAAATTAATTATTCAGACAATTGATTTATACTAGCTAATTAGACAAACTTCTGTTATATAAATTAATTATCCAGGCGATTGATTTATACTAATTAGACGAACTTCTGCTTAGAAAAAATTAGAGTTTCAGAATATTAATGTTAAACTACTTCAAAGTTTTTTACTTAAACCCAAGTAACCTATCAGGTAATATGTCGGATGATCTGTTGGGTGATCTGATGGGTGACACAGGTAGTGATTTTTTTTAATTTAACCTGTTTCACCTGGGTGGCACATTGTCCACATATCGGGTAATCTGGGTGAGGATTTTTCAGACAGGTCAATTCACTAATCACAATAAGCCAATATTTTACAAACTAATATGCAATGGTTTTGGATATATAAAAGATTTAGCTGAATTTCTACAATTATTAGATGTTATAGATTATTACTATTTTAAACAAATTAGATTCATGAATACTCTTCTCATCCAACTATAATATTATCGATTAATATAATGGAAAATAGATCTTATATTTACAAGAAATAGTTCATATGTATAGAAACATATCAGAATCTATTTTAAGTATATAAAAAAACAAAAATGAATCATAAATCTTAATATAACCTGGATCACAACTCCAAAGCTATAAATTTTTTTGTTATATCCTATATGTTAGTAAATTTTAAATCGATATCCTAGTTACCCTATAGGTATATATAAACTCTTTTTTCTGAATATAGGAGAGAAAGTGTAATTAATTTCGATTTGAAAAAGAATCTTCATAATATATATCAAACAAAAATAGTCTATATAAACTATCTCAATTAATATATACCAACTATGACAAAAATTGCTACATTATTTGTAAATCGCTACAAATTAATATCACAAACTAGTTTACTACAGCTTAGTACTTATGTTGAAGAGTTAGATAATAAGCTTTCAGATGGTAAAACAAAAGAGCAGGCTCAAAAAGCCAAAAATCAGGCTAAAAGATGCTTCTAAGAGTTGGGATTAAGTAAGGAGCAAGCTGATATTTTTATTCCTATTCGATCTTCTGGAAGACATGTTAATGAAAAAGATCTTATCAAAATTATTGTACAGAATATTATAAAAAATAATCTCTCATCTGAAAAGATAAATGGAATAACATATGACTTGGCTTCTTCTGCTTCCACTACTGTTGCTAGAAATTCTCAGCTTAATTTATTACAAAAAGAATTGCACAAACTTGGGCCTGATTATCTCATCACTGAGTCAACGAAGATACCCTTTGTTACTGAAGAAGCAAATCAGATTCAAGCAAAAAAATGTATACTTTGTGGAATTAATAGTTATGATTGTCCTGAGTTCTTTTATTTAGAAAAAATTCAGGAAAGACTTAACAAATATGATATTACCAAGTCTCCTTTAATGCAAAATCTAATTGACGTAATGATAATGCTATGTATCAGGTATGCGATCGGCAGATGTAAAAATCTTAGTATCAATCGGATCTACTACAAAATGCCGACATCCAAAATCCTGACAGCACAAATCTTGACAGTGCTAATCTCGACATACATAATCTCAACAAGATAAAATCCTGACAACATAAAATCCCAACAAGATAAAATCCCGACAAGATAAAATCCCGATACCAGAAACATAGTACAAAGTACAAAGTGTATAGTTTACAAGCAAGTTGCTGTGTTTAAAATCTCGAACTCTATTGGACAGCGTGATTATTGTATATGCATCCTTTTTTGGTTATGCCTTGACTAAGAACTGCGATCACGTTAAATAATTATTCAACTAGATAGCTGCGCGACGTTATCGCGCAAAACCAGGAACGGAAAACCTAAAAAAAAATGAAATAGTTAAATAAATATTGCATTCATTTACGCTAATTTTTATTATCGATATACAATATACCCGTCAAGTAATTATCTAAGTGTACAATACTGGTAATAAAGAAAAATAACGATTTCGGTGTATTTTTATTGAAATTAATGTTGCTTTCATGTAAAGCTACGAGTGAAATTAACTCTGATAGAAGAAATTTTCTGTCGTATAATTGTCGTTTCCACCTCTATAGTAAATAGCTATGAGAATGAATAAATTATTTTAATTGATCTCCAATGTCACACCAAGTTAATTTTTGTTTTACACTATCCTTCGGTCCAGATGTTTCAAATTTCAATTTTTGTTACAAAAACAATTTACTTTATCATAAACAAAATAATGATTTTTCATTCAAAATAATAATAATTATTATTATTATATAATCAAAATATAAAGGCATGCAAAAATTACTCGAGTCTAATTCAGAACATTTCAGAATGGTTTCCTTTAAGAAACCTGATTAGTTGAATCTACAAATTTCAGCATCATCCATCTCAGTATAATTAACACAGTTAAATAACGCTTTCATATTGTTGACCACTTTAAACGCTCATATTAAATCTGTTGCCAACTTTGGTATAGTCGCGTTTACGTGAAGATTGCACTAAGCCATCAATAATGTATAAA